TCAATGGACTCGCAGTTGTAGGAATTTTTTTGGCAAACTCCTCAGCCATCAACGGATTTGTTAAGCCTTATTTTCGACTACCGTTTTGAGTGGTAGCATGCGGATTGTGTTTAAGTTCCGTTCCGCATGTGGACGTCGTGCTAGCAGTTAACGCTCTTAGTGCTACGATATTGATACGTGACTCGTCTTTCTCACGGGAATTAGACTACGGCGACGCGTGTTAGGCTTTGACTTCAGGGAGATTTTTGGCTATCCCCAGACCTTCAAACGGATCTTGTTAGCCTTTCGACTACCCGTTTGAGTCGCGCTAGTATTTCGGATTGTTTAAAGTCCGCTCCTATTCGTTTTTAAGCCAAAAGAGTTAACTCTTTTATGCTGCTACGATATTGATACGTTAGGCTTCGTCTTTTCACGGGAATAGACTACCCCTATGGCAACGCGTTGTTCAGGCGTTGACTTCAGATTTTTGGCTAATCCTCAGCCTTCTCAACGATTTGATATATCTTTACATCCCCGACTACGTTTGAGTCGGGCTAGTATGCGGCATGTCTTAATTCCGCTATTTGTGACGTCAAGCCTAAAAGAGTTAACCCTTTTAGTGCTACGATATGACATGCGTTAGGCACTTCGTCATGTTCGGGAATAGGCTACCCGGCAACGTGTCTTAGACGTTGACTCTTCCCTACTCAGGGCTTCGGGATAAATTTCCGCGCGTGTGAGGCACGGGTTATGTTGTTATTAATAAAACCTGCCCATGTGATATGTGGTCTTTCTGTCTTTTTACGGTCAAGACTACCGGCCATGTGTGTTAGACCATGGTTTGGTTTTTGCGCAACCCCAGCCATCAACGGGTATTGACGTGGCCGCTTTAGCGATTACCGTTTAATCGGGCTAGGCATGTGATTATTAAAACGCCGTTTCACATGTAAGTTGTGCTAAGAGAATTGCTCCTCTTAGACTTAATGCTATGATTTTGAATCATAACTTCGTCTTACTCTCACGGGAATAGAACTACCCGGCAGCGTGTTTAGGCGTTGACTTCATCCCTGTCTTTTTCTGAAAGCCCAAAAAGACAGAGGAAGTTGCTATGATTTTGAATCAATAGACTCGTCTTTTCTCAACCGGGAATGACTACCCGGCAACGCGTGTTACGTAGTTGATTATCCCTACTCCAGGCTTCGGCATAATTCCCCGTGCTCGAGCTGCCCCGATTTGACAAGGTGTCTGTTTCTAAAGAAAGACAGATTTGAGGATCGGAGAGGTAAGAATTTTTTCTATCTCCCGTAGTGCTGAAGAGGAAGAATTTTATTTATCTACAGCTGGAAAGGAAACTCGAGTGGGATCTTCCACCCCCAGAATCCGGAGGATGAAACTAAGAGTGGGATCTCCACTCGAGCATCGGTACAAGATCTTATATCTAACTGTCGGAAGGTTTTACTATTCGGTTATTGAGTTGGACCTCTGTCATTGGTGGAATCGAGAGGGAGCTTCTTGGCTGTGTCCTAATGTAGGAAGGTTTGGACCAGCAGGAGTTTTGAAACGACCATAACTGTCGCGAAGGTCTTGATCGCTCATTGAGGGTGGCTCTCGTTTCATCTGGGCGGAATCGAGAGGGGATTTTGGCTTTGGCCCTAACTTTTACAGGTTTTGACCAGAAAACACAGAAAGTGGATACGGGTAGCAAAAAATTGCCAACTTCGTATTATCACTCAGAGAGGCTTTAATGCTAGGGACCTCAGCATGTTAGTCTGAGAAATGCCAATGACTGCTAAATGCGGATGTTGGTGGTCACTGGTCGTTTGATGATCAGCGGGTGGTTGGTGAGGCAAAAATACACCTATCAGCAAGATTGGCTCTCTCTCACAAAAAAATACTCATAGATTCGGGAATGAGAATAGCTTCCGACTTCTAGAGTTCGAAGGTGAATTTCTTGCTGCACAATTCACCAATGATTGGTTATCCCTAAGAAATACCATGTGGTTTCTTTTGGGGAACTTCCCGATGTTATTGGATTATCACCCAGTTTCTCTCTTGGAACTGGGTTTGACTTTTGTTATCTGGCCGGGTTATCCTTAAGATATTAGTGTAATATCCTCCAGGAACTTCCGTTTAATGGTAGGAAATAGTTTGACTCCATTTACCTTTGGAGTATGGCAGGGGGCAGTTAACTTTATACGGTCGGAGGTTTGAGAAACAGTTTCATACTCGTACTCTTTGGCGAGTATTAAGAAGAGTTTATACTTCTTTTACTCGTCGGGTATCGGAGAAACAGTTTTTCTCTTCTACTCTTTTGGAGTAATCGAGAACACAGTTTATACTTCTTTAACTCTTTGTAGTATTGAGGAACAGTTTTATACTCTTTGTACTCTTTTGGAGTTTCGCCGTTTCTCAATTGGCTTACCCTGCGTTATCGCGCGGCACAACCTCAAGGTCTGGGATGTTATTCTGAGAGCAAAAGCATTCCTTGAGATGGGGTGGAGGATCCTTCTGCTGGTACTCGCCAGTACGTTGGACATTCGCAGATTCGCCATCTTTCCTTCTTGATGCGTGATGGGCTGGAGTTTGATTTTGTTGTTTTCGAGAAGGTCTCGAATAGGCTGGAACGTCCTTTCGTCTTTGGAACGAGTTACTCGTTTTGGAGCCACTCCTCGTCTGATTCTCCTGTTTGTTCAGGGACTGTGTTGTGACGTTTGATCGTCGTCAACAACCGTTGCAGGTACGTCACTCTTCATCATGAGGTACGAGATCCGCATCCGAGGTTAACCATCGGTTGGTTCTCTCGACCTTTCGCCTTCGTGATGAAGCGCTTCAGCCTGTTCTGCTCGAGCCTTCAACTCTTTCCAGGTATTGGCGGCTCTTTCCATCACGTCCAAGATGTCAATGGGACAGGTTGTTCTGACAGTTGCAGAGGAATTCCTCCGTTGACGGGATCCCTGCCAGCTTCATTGTCCTGATTGCGGGAAGCTTTGCATGAAGGTATCATGCCGACTCTCCGCTTTTTGTTTCTCGTCGAGAGTGTCCTGATCGACACCTCGGTGTCATCTCGAGGAAATGGGGGGCGAGAACTGCCTTCAAGTCTCCCAGCTGTTGATGCTTTCGCGCTTTGAGACGGCCAGGTACCAATCGAAAGGCAGGCCCGCGAGCGGTGCCAACGACATGACCGAACCATCAAAGCGCGATTGCCGAGATACTCCCAATGTGAGACTTGAAGGTTAGATCAGAGTTGAGTGGGCAGCCTTTCCGTATGAACGGCGTTGAAGTTGTCAGGTTGACTTCGCCGGATACGTATCGAATCCCCTTCTCGGTAAGGACACGGATGCCGGTCTCTTCACCTCTCTGGTAGACATCACGCGGCGCTCGTTTTTCTTCAGCTCCTTTATCTTTTTTGGCCTCCAACACGTCCTGTTTTGGATGGTTTCGAGAGCGAATCATACGCACCCCCAGTGTGTCACTACCGGTGGATCCACCCCAGCGCTTCCATATGGTTGGGTCGGGTCCACCCCCAGCGCTGTTATTTTTAGTGGGGCCACCCCCAGTATTCTTGGGCGGTGCGTCGGCCATAACGATTTCAACCACCTCCGAATTGCTGCCAACTGCGGCGTTCTGGATGCGATGGCTGGATTCCACTAGCTGATTTGACAAAGCTCGGATTCGTTGATCGTGCATTTGTCTCATCTCCTGCATAGCCACTTCCATTTCAAACTTGAAGATTTCCTTCTGCTTAGCCAGGGCCTCTTCAATGATTTTGGCTATCTGTTCGGTGTTGGCCATGCACACCTCTCGAGCTTGCCCTATGCTAGATGTTGTGTCGTCGGAGGCGAGCGCGG